ATTATTATAATTAGAATATAATAAATATTAATCATTAAGTATGGTTAATATTTTAAAACTAGCTTATTACTTTAGGATATACATATATATGTAAATGTATAATACAGTAGAGTAGTATTTTTATGATCCTTTGTGGAACCTGATGCCCCTCATTAACTATCATGGTAGTCCTCTCTTGGTAAGGTTCTGATATGCATAAGTTTCAGTTACTATGCTTTAGTTAAAACATCAGCTACTCCCCAAACCATGGTCCAAATTTCAATGACCACATAGATTGATTGTGAGCCATGCATAATGCACAATCTTCGCTGCCAGCTCTTCAGTCTATAAAATCACTACATAACATCATGACCTATGGCAAATGACACCACTTCATTCAAAGGCAACCAGTGATTGGTTACTATGTATCTGTTATTCAGTTCACTCACAGACGGCTAAGGATATAGTTGCCTTGTCTTGTCTCCTAGTGATAAATCCATGTGATGTTTTACAAAAATGGATTACAACAAGAAAGAAAGCACAGCAAAGAAACAAAGAGTGACAATGCTAGAAGTAAAATTTGAAAAAAAAACATAAATGGAGTCAGGTGCAGTGGGGTGTGCCTGTAGTCCTAGCTACTCCAGGGGCTGAGGCAGGAGGATTGCTTGGGCCCAGGAGCTGAGGCAACATAGTGAAACCCTGCCTCTAAAAAAATCCCTGAAACTACCTAAATGGAGTTATAGAAGAAATAATTGAATATGGAAATATTGACACTAATGCTGTTTGAGGGACTTTAGATGTGCACCCAAAGAAACTTAGTGGAGGCAATGTTTTCAATTTATTAAATGAAAAAGTACAGTATGGCTGGGTGCGGTGGCTTGTGCCTGTAAGCCCAGCACTTTGGGAGGCCGAGGTGGGTGGATCATGAGGTCAGGAGTTTAAGACCAGCCTGGCCAAGATGGTGAAACCCCGTCTCTATTAAAAATATTTTAAAAAATTAGCCGGGCATAGTGGCATGCACCTGTAATCCCAGCTACTGGGGAGGCTGAGGCAGAATTGTCTGAACCCGGGGGGCAGAGGTTGCAGTGAGCCGAGATCACACCACTGCACTCCAGCCTGGGCGACAGAGTGAGACTCCGTCTAAAAAAAAGAGAAAAAGAAAAAGAAAAGTACAGTACGGTAGTTGCAAAAAGGATGAAAATGTCGAAGAGGAAGTGATGCTGGCACATTAAAGGTACTCGCAAAGATATTTCCAGATGTTGAAAGAGAAGAGGATAAAATGTTGGAAGATGATCCAAACTTAAAAATGAGGAGGACAATTTGCCAAAGCAAAGATAAGATTCTTGCTCAGTGTCCTAAGTTTTTTTTTTTTTTTTTGAGATGGAGTCTAGCTCTGTCGCCAG